TCCATACAGACATCCCGACACAGCCATACCAGATCCATCACGTGCTGAGCCCATGCTGTATGCTACATGCTTTACGTACATACTTTGTAATCCTCACACACTTGCAAGGTAGGCGTTGTCAATCCCTCCCTAATAAACCCTATTATTTCATAGATTAATAACCTGACTCTCAAAGAAGTTAATGTAACTTAACTTGCCTACACTGAGACAGCCAGTAGGTGGCAGAGCCAGGGTTTGTAGACAGAGAAAATTAAAATGCCTGGGCACTATTCCCTAGTCAATACTGCTCAACTACTGGGGAACATATATTCGTGATATCACCCCACTTCATTCACAGATAACACTCGAGAGAAACATGGTGCCTATGTATATACAATACTAAAAATAAGGGTGTTATGGAGATTACTTTAAGAAACTCACCCTCTAGACATTCGAGTTTTTTGGTATTATATATGTTCTCTACATCTTTTGCCAAAAGTGTCCCAATTCAGCCTTTGCCTTATCAATTGCCTACATGGTCCTTAAGGCATCTGAATAAAAATCATCCCCTCATTTTGAAGAAGCGGTAACAGGCTAGCTTCATATCTACAGAAACGTGACTTTTACTGGTTGCCCATCCAGGCTCTTGTTCACACACAGGGCCATTAAGTATATCCTTCTTCACATGACTAGGAATTCACCTGCAGGGGCCCATTAGCGCTAATGGGTCATTTATTTCCCCATCACTTCAAGGATCAAAAAGAGAGGCTGCATCTTTGATAAGTGGTAATGGTATACAGGGCTCAGACCACTTAAGGAGTTTCTTTGTTCTCATCATGTGGCAACCCACCAAGGGACTTTCGACCACTATTTGCTATATGAAAGAGTTTATGAACAGTACTAAGTGGTGACGCTAAGTACACCTTCAGTAAGGAAAAATAGAATTAGTTCCCTACTCAGAATGCCAACCGCACCTACCTTGGTATGTTTGAATCTTGTATTCTACACTGCTGGGATTGATATTTTCTGCTCTTTAGTAACTCACAGGAAAGATTACTACTTCTCTTCAATAATCTTTACAGTGTCGTCAGGTGAATAAGTTTGCTAATAGAAAAACAGGGATTGTGGTAGGAGGTGGGAAAAGAAAGTTAGTGCATGTTAGAATTAACATTATCCCCATGTGCTGCCTTACTGTTTCTCTTTTTTTATTCTTTACTACTGTGACCTCCATCCATAAGGTGGCTGACAGTATTTATTGAGTGCCCACCATGCTTAGAGCCCAGTACTAGGCATTCTGGGAGACACAGCCTCTCTGCTCCAGGAGGTTACAATCAGACAGAGGAAGATTGATTAACCAATATATAGTATTCCATATGTAATTTTTATTACTGAGTTCTACATCTGAAAAGTCTAAAGCTGTGCCAAAAATTCTTCATTCAATTCCCCACTCTTCTCTACTACATTCATTAGGGCTGAAGGAGAGCTGAAATTTTCTAACAAATTTTGTTCAACAAATGAAAGTAGTAGGTAGTATTTCCTTGCGTTGCTCTTTGACATGTCAAAATATAAATCTCAGCCCACAATCTCTGATGTACAAGAAATGTAACTTTTCTGTTTTTCTATAACTCACCTTGGTTTCTATTTTGAGCTTTGATTCTTTGAGTTAGTGAAGGTACAATCTCAGGCAATTTTAGTTCCCTTCTTTTTCTGGTGTCCTATCTAAATAACTCAATGGGGGAAGTTCCACTGTACTCATTATTGTCGGGGTGGGGGTGGATAAAGAGAGGTGGCATGGAAGCTTGTTTTAAATAGTCTGGCGTCATCACTCAGGTGCTCACTGAGCTGAAACCCAGCATCTTCATTCTTGTATGCATGACCTCCTCAGGTTGGACTTTTTTTTTTTTTTTTTTTTTTTTTTTTTTTTTTTTTAAGTTCTTCTGTACCTGAGTCACTGGCCCAGCCATTTTTTTTTTTTTTTTTCTATTTCTGTGCATTCTAGAAATTGTTCTATAGCTCCCATGGAGCAGAGGAGTATGGAAAGCACTGTGAGACTCTCTAAGCTCTCAGGTTATCTAAGTCTACGGTGCAGCCATTTCTTTTCAGAGATCTCACTGCTGTCCTGAGGAAATGCACAGAGTTTTCCTGAGGAAATGCACAGAGGTTTGCATTACTCATTGAAACTTACCTGAGGTTTTGAGATTAACCGGAACTCAGTAAATTAGGAATCAGTGCCCTCTTTGACATTCGCCAGTGACGATGCTTGCACAACTAGTCTCTTCCGACTTTTATCTCCTGCTTGCCTGAATGAGGAGTAGGAAAGCTTTACTTTTCTTATGTTAACTCCAATGTGTATTCTATTTCATTCCTCAAAAAGTCTAGGTTTTTTGGACTTAAATACAGAAAGCTAATTTTATATCTTTCATTTCTGATTCATATTCTTTCTCTGCAGCAATTAAAATACAATGGCTTGAAATTAAGTGAGAGCTAAAACAAAAGACAACATAGAAATATGGAAGAAAAATCAAATAATACTTCAAAAATAGTATCCCCTCTCTGACCAAAACCATGCTGTCTTTTAATATTAAGGATGATGCCTAATAGCCAGTAGACTTTGTTTTTTTTAAAAGGAGGGGGAGTAAATATATCCAGTACTTTCAGTGTGAATTATATGGGATCAATGGCATCCTAGTTATAGAACTTAGAGTTTTAGTTAGTAGGTCAAGACCTCAGTTCTCAGTTTTTAAGGTTACATGACTGTGAGTATGCCACATGATTCCTGTATTTCAGTTTACTCATCAATACATTTCTTTTTTTTTTTTTTTTT